CATTGTCGTAGTGATGAAGCCACGATTTGCCCTGCTACAAAAGCACGTGAAAAAAGAAAGGAAATGGTTGCAAAGAGTCAAGGTACCATGTTAGATGATAAGACAATTCGCTTAACCCCCTCACACAGCACATCCAGTCCCGTTTACTTTTCAGACAGACCTCGTATTACATGTTTTTATTTACTTTATTTTATTATTTGCTGTTGTTATCAATGCCATTATATATATATATATATATATATATATATATATATATATATATATATATATATATACATATATTAATATATATATATATATATATATATGAACATGAATAAATATAGATTTAATGTGTGCTATATTTATGGGATAAAGTGCTCACTATCAGAAACAGAGCGTATCTAAATATAAAAGTGAATATTGAAGTAAACATCCTTGTGTAAGAAATGCTTCAACTGAAAATAAGTAGAGAATGCTAGTCTAAATTAAGCAAGGAAACATGTCCCTTATATATATATATATATATATATATATATATATATATACAAGGATGGGTAGAGAGCGTTTACATGTGGGTAAGTACGCACAGGCACACTTTTTTTTTTTTTTTTATTCGGTACAAAAAGTCTTAGAAAGTTATTAATTATCTCTTCTCCCTGCGGCATGCTCGTAGTTAATACTGTGGTATTCTTTGTTATTTCGCCTTGGTTAGCAACCAGTAGCTCGGAGATGGACAGCAATGAACTGAAAACAGCTTGGCTTCGGGGCTGGAAAATCCATAACATTAAACGAAATTATAATAGAAAACGCAACAGGCATGCCTAGCGTGTCCATATTCCCCAACCAGGAATCTACAGAGTAAAAGTCAAAAACACCATTTTGAAGAATAGTTTCTCAACATGGCGCACATATCATTTTTGAGAATTGTTTTTTCTATCATGACGCATACAATATTGCAAAGATCTCTTCCACAGATGAGACAGATTTTTCTAACATGGTTCTTATCGATATCCTGATTACCTCACTATTGTCCGTGTCGCGGATAATATAATTATTTCCACGGATTCAAAATAATTAAAACGTACTGCAATAATTTAAATATCTTTTGTGAATTTTAATTTTGGCTTTAATTTCAAATATTTAAATCAGGTGTTATAGATTATATAACATACAATATTAACTGGCTTCTACTATGATTGTCGAAAGAACAATTTGAAATCGGAATGACCTAGTATATCTCAAGTATGAATGACCAAATATATTTGAACCATTTCTGACTATAAAAGCTCATAGACTACAAAGTACCAAGGGAAATCATTTTATTATGTTCTTAATTATTTTCCGCACATTTTAATTAAATCTTTTCTGGGTATCCTCAGAAAAATGCTGTCTCATTGGATTTTCGGCTAATTTACATTTCCCGATTAATAAAACACGAGTTTTCTACTAATCGCATTTCAGAAATAACGAAAGAAACAAGGAAAAAAACAGTTTTAAAATACTTAAAAAAATATTTTCAGGTATTTCGTATTTTTATTTTCAAATTAAAAGATCATTTTCTGGTTGAAGTTATAATAAAATCCAAACGAAGAGACTTTATGGCTTTATGCAAATATAAATTGTTTTAGTGATCAAAAGATAATTTATTGAGATTTCAGGAAAGTAAATTGGGATTTGATCAATATAAATAAGATTTCCACAAATCTTTCTTAAAAATATCGATTTCATAAATAGAGTGCTAGAAATGTTAATTATCAATAAATAAATACCGAAAATGTATTATGGTATTTTAACAAATTTCTAACTAGATTTTCAAAATGTCGGTATTTCTCGCAGTAAAATTATTTTTTAATTAAACCGTCTAGTACTAACGTTACCTGCTGACATGTTTGCCACCCAATCTGTCACCTATAGACAGAGGAAGATGGTTCCATGCTGTTTTTCTAAGATATTAGCCAGAAGTGCATGAAAAAGATTCGACTGGAATTCGAACTCGGTTTGTCGAATTCACTATCGGCTCCGATGAATGCTGCACCATCCGTATATAAAATGATATGCGACATAGAAAAAGGTTAAAAAGTCAGATAATATACTAGTGTTTGTTTATGTGCTAAAAGGCAGAGTATTTCTATTTTATTGTATCTACTTCGTTGAAATGAGCCTAAAAGCAACAAGGAACCAATATTTACACATCAGGTTTGATTGATTTTTACAGATACAAATTCTACTATTTATTTATAACGGGTGGGAGGATATGGACATGGATTCGTACCTTTTTCTGTGCGTCAGTGAATGTAACGAACCTGGCTGGTATTCGAAGTCTGGTCTCCGTCTTCTCATTCTGTACACATCCTTAACTTAGCGCATCGATCGACATTTTCCTTTTTATGAACACGTACATCCACTTATTGATACGGTTACGTCTTCATTTATGCATGTTAATAAAAAAAAACTTTCATAGCTTATGATGACGAAAGAGAACTATGTCTGTATTGAATAAAAAGTAATTTCTGAATTTAAGAAAAAAAAAATTCGGGTCTTTGTTATTTTTGTTTCTTTTGTTTATTGTTATTATTTCTGTAAATTTCACACCCTCGAATTGTTAATTTTCAATACGGAACTAATTATTTGTTTGTTCATCAAGCTATGCTACCACTAATGTGCAGCGTATGTTTTTATTTGCTAAGTTATATTTATCCGGCCTCCCCACCAAGGTAGGAGGATGACACCAAGTCGTTTTAACGTGGAAAACACAATACACATAAGTATACATATGAGACAAAGACATTTTTCCCAGTTACCTCGACCACATTTACGCTTGCATCAATATTACACCGACGTTGAAATCTCCGGGCATGGGAAACTTCTTCCGTCTAAAATAGGCAGACACTTTTACTCCACTTCCAGCACAAAGTTTAACTCCTGTACCAGGTAAGTATTTTATTTGCTAGGTAATGCTTCCACGATGACTGTAAAACAGCTGCTAATTTGTTGGAATTTTATTCTCCCAAATCATTTGGCTTAGTTCTTGTTTAATTGAAATATTGTCAACTTTTAAGTATTGTGCCCACAAAAACTCGTTACGTCAAAAGGCCATCCATTCCCTTGAAACCGCTATTAAAAACACTTTTGACTCCATCTGCATTGTTTATTTACAAGATTATAAAAATATATGAACCAATAGAGTGCGATATTTACAGGTGTACAGTATATAAAGTACGATACATTAGCGCGTGCGTGAGAAATCTATTATTTTGATTAATATAGCCATATTAAGTATATATTTATTTATGCTATATATACATGTTTATAGTATTTACATTATGACCATAACTACTGGCAGTTACTATAGTGGTTTTATAACTAAAATATAATCCCTTCCCATCTACGGAAATCATCTTTAACTTACCACCCTGGTAGTCCGTTGATGAGGAGTTTGTCTGTATTTAGATTTTATAAAGATTTATTGTTTATCATTTTATAAAAGAAGCATTTTAAAGAAATATTTTTTTTTATTAAAAACATATGAAATATTACAATAATTATCAAAATATATAAACTAAATACAATGTAATATTTTGCGGTATAAATTACAGACATTCTCTAATTATACACCAGGCAAACTTTGTCAAGCCAATGAATAGCGAGATACACAATCAAAATATTGAGTTATTGTGGTCTCCCCTAAAATCTAAAATGAAAAGAATTTTTTGTCTTCAGAGGAAGAGATGATTTCAAATTATTTTACTGAATTTATATGACCAGAGAAAATGAAAGAAATGCCCGCAAAATGTTTTTTTCATTATTAATTACAATTGCTTGTGGTTGTGTCTTTAATTTTTTTTTATCACAGACATTTTTATAAATTTATTAGTTAAATAATATTCACTTATTTATTTCTTTAGAAAGTGGCAAATAATAAATATTTCATTATAGTTGCTTCAAATATTCTTTATAATCTTGTAAATATAAAATTATTCTTGTAATTTAACAATCTTATAAACAAATAATGTCGAATATCTTCGTTGTCAATTTTTAAGAAAAAAGAAAATGTATAAAACACTTTCTAATATGTTTGGATTTTATTAAATTTCTAATGATCGCTTTAAAAAAATAAAATAAGCCTCGCTGTGGAATCCAGTGTGTAACGGTGTCAAGGAAATAACCGTTCTTTTGAAACAACGTATGTTTTTCCTTTTTTTTACGAGTACGAAGCTTAGAGAGTACCAAAATATCTTTGTGATTATCTTTTTATTTTTGCTTTTCGTGCGAATGTATCATTTACTGACGTAGGTCGTTGCTTATGTCTGTTGTATTTAATTAACATTACGAACTTTTAAAGGAAGTTTATTAAATTGATGCTTGTTTTTTGGGGTTTTTTTTTTCAATCTATGAACATCTTCAGGACATAGCTGATCAGGACTGTCGACATCTTTTCTGCACCTCGTAGGTGCAAGCGAACTTTGGTGCATTCCTATCTCTATTTGTATTCCCTTTGCTATCCATTCGCACAAATAAACTGCGAGCTTATTTACATTGTTCAGACTGCAGCCCTCATTTTTATTGCCATATTCACAACGTTTCAGTCGTTATACGCTCCACCCTTCTTCAGGGGATTGGAAGGAAGGCCAGAGCGTACAACGGCCAAAACGTCCTGAATATGACAATAAAGATGAGGACAACAGCCTGAACAATGTAAACAATTATAATACCTCATCTCAAAAATATAAACAAATTGAGAGCTGTTTTCCTTACTTTCCTCCATTATGGCCGCTGAGTGTTAAATTCTACAAATCCTCCTTCCTAGTCCTAGTTTTCAAAAGTCTCTTTCCGATTGTAAGTATAAAAATCCTTTTTAGTTCCTATTTTATGTAGAATTCTCTTCTTTTTTATATGTTCAGTGCCTAGGGTTTTCATCAGTCATCTACTAACTATATGTCTGTACCCTCGAGTCCTTTCTGTATCTGTGAGTAAATTGTCAGACATTCACTGTCATATAACGAGCCTCAGCCACATTTCGTTGAAACACCCGTTCCCGTACGATCACCTAAGTTAAGCAACGTCGAGCCTGGCCAATACCTAGATGGGCACCTGCTTGGGAATACGAGGTGCAGTAAACTTGGAAGTGTAATGGATAATGGCTCGGAATTGTTAATCAGAGAGTCGAGTTAGATTTCCAGTTGGGTTTGCTATGCGCAAATGCCCTTGGAGAAAGTATCGCCTCCTTCAGCTATGGGTTAATTAGTAAGGTTTGCTTCACTAAATCATTATTATTTAAAAATGAATTCTTACTATCTAAAAATATTTTCTAGCTTTAAATAACCTGAAAAGGGTTGTATAACGCGTTGAAAACGAATCAATCAATCAACTGCCATATAAGAGATTCGATATTTCTTCGCAGTATTTTTTCTTTGATTTTAATGGACTTTTGCCATTTTTTTTATACTTTGCTGGGTTCAAAGAAGGTTTATTTGGCTGTTATATGGCTCTTTCGGACATCTATGTCACAAGTCGGTATGCATACTGAAGAATGCTCGCATGGCCGAGAATGGCTAGGTTTCTGATCTTGAGATACGGTTTCAAATCTTACCATAATGACGTCAGCTTGGAGAGACGAAGTGACAATCGCCATAATGCAAAAATACAAGCGCACTGGCCTTCTTCATCTAAATTCCACACCAGATATTTTTTCTCTCCCTCTTTTAAGCATTCTTCTTCTATCTGCTACATCCCTTCAGAACGAGGACAAACATGGCTCTCCACAACTTCCTGTCCTTTGTGACTCTTAATAAAATTTGTCTTTTTACTACCTACCTTAATTTCTGTTCTTAAAAAAACCATTTACACAACTTCGTTAGATCAGGTATATATTACTTTCTTCAATCCATCTTTCCTTCTTTATGTCCACTCAGTGTCAAATCTTCTGTAAAACCTCTTTCCGCGTTATGGGCACTAGAAATTTAACTCTCTCTCCCCTATATTAAGTATAAATGTCCCTTTTGTTTTCCTTTTCTCTAAACATTTTCCCGTTGTTCATATGTTCAGTCTTCGGTATTCGCAGCATCCTTCTGTAGAACCACATTTGTGTTGCATCAAGTTGCTTCTTTATCTTCGAGGAAATAGTCCAGCATTCACTGCCATATACAAGTATCGATATTACATAACAGTTCAGTACACATTTTGTTTCCAAGAAAATTTGTCTGTTTCTTAATACTTTGCTTAATATTTGAAAAGCATCTTTCTGTGTCGCATTTTCGGTGTCGCATTTTCCATACTTTGTTAAAAATATTCCCAGAGATTTAAATTTTTGTATTTGCTTGATTTTGGTATATCTAATACGTAAGTTGCATGTCGGTCTCTTTTGGCGATAAGCATGCATTCTGTCTTCTTCCAATTGACAATTAGTCCTTTCTCCCCTCTTTTCTTTGCTACCCTCTTCTTTTAGTTTCCGTTCTGTGTCCGCTGACAAAACTATGGCATCTGCATATATAATGCTATTAAAAGGATATGGCCGCCAATAATGATTCGTGTTAGGATTTCGAATTATATCAGGATTTATTTACTGTTAACTTTGAATAAGTCCGGTGAAAACGCACATCTTTTTCTTACGCCCCTTTCAATTTGTTTGTCTCTTTAGTAAATTCATTTTCTAAATTGAATTTAAATTTATGTACTTCATGGAGTTTTTACTTTTGCTGAAAAATATACATGCAGTCCTTTTACAATTTATGTTTAATCTTTTGTCCTTGCTTCCTTTTACTAGCTTCTGTAGTAGGAGTTCCTATAGTGTACTTTCAACGCCTGCTATCAACGCTGAGTCATCTCCATAAATAATCGATAGGATATTTAAAATGGACGATTGCAAAGCAAAGAAACTAAAAGACGCCGTTGTTGTAAAACAGGTTAGATCTGTGGTTGTTGATCAAATATAAATGTGAAAAAGGAGTGATATAGCAAACTAGGCATATTTGGAAAACAATATCGTGTCATTATATTGAAAAATATTCGTTACCAAGCAATTCAGAAGGATACTGTTCCTACGCTTTTCTTCAGTATGCAGTGATTGCCGTTAGCAATACTCACAGCGGAAGGCGCGTGCTACCAATTGGAGATGTCCAAACCAATCAAACACATTTAACTATGTGGGAATGTTACAAAAGACGACGAGAAATGTGACACAGAAATCCGAAGTTACATTTGAATAGAAAAAGATGCCTCCCTAAAACTAAACAATGTATTAAGAAATAAAATATTCGTGAGAAACAAAATATAGAGTATTAAAATTCAATGTAATCCTCCTATGTGACAGTGGAGGCTGAAGAGTTTTACTACAGCTGAATAGGTGGCAAGTGGAAACAGAGCCGAGATTCTACAGAAGGATACTGAGAATATAACATCGACGGAAGTTATCTGCAAAGAGGGAGACTTGCGTAAAAAGGGAATTAAAAGTTTACACTTGCAGAAAGAGATAAAATTTCTGAGACGTTTAAGGATGAAATGGGTCTTGATGAGTTTAACTCACACAGGACATTTTTAATACTTGAGAAGCAGTGGTGAAACTTTTTGTAACATACCAAAATAGTATATGTAGATCGATGCCAGAACACAGACTGGATGTGATAGTAAAAGAACAAATATTATTTTGATCTACAAATGGTCCACATGTTCTCCCACAAGCCACATAAAAGAAGAATATATATTTCATAAAATTATATTGCGTTAAATTCGATATTTGTTTATATCAAACACTTGATTAACATTCGTAATGTCAGAGTTTTATTTGTAACTACCCTAAACACCTATATATATATATATATATATATATATATATATATATATATATATATAGAGAGAGAGAGAGAGAGAGAGTATTCTCAGAGATGCACTAGAATCCAAAAGGCAATGTTAAAAGAAAGAGTTATTAAAAGATGTAATGTAGCATAATAAAAAGATATTAATAACTTAACACCATAAAAAAAGCATGACGCTGTCCAATGCAACACGCCATAGAATTTCGGATCAGACATGTGATATCGATTTTGTTTTGACTAATTGTCTTGTCATGACATCTGGAGCCAAAGTTTCTTCACTGCTGTCATGATATTTTATGATGATGTGCTTTTTTGTAATAGGATTTTTTTAATATTTCCATCGACTTTTGTCTGCAATTTTTATTTTAAATAAATCGATTTTTTACATGGAAAGACATTCAAGAATTCAAAGACATTACAGCTAAAAGCTGAGTTACACTCCAGAAGTATGATAGATAGATAGATAGATAGATAGATAGATAGATAGATAGATAAAAAAGCATTATAGTATATAATATCGATATTCCTTTATATGAAAATCTTAGTGAAATCGCAAAAATATAACAGTGAAAAAATTGATTATAATTGACGTAAAATGAATGAGATTAGCCTTAAAAAATTGCCTTTTTCCCTCCTGATGAAGGAAGATTTGTTTTTAAGTATCTTATATTTGTTTTGAGAGTTTATGATTTTGGGTAGTTCGTCAGGTTGAGGACTTTTCAGCACTGACTGATATATAAAATAACATGAAAAATTTAAAAGAAAGAGAATTCAGCTGAATCAGTAAATGTAGTCACCGATATGCAAGCATATAATATTTTTACATAGAATGATTTTTTTTCTTCCGATGGTGAAATGAAATTTCTAGACAAATCTTGTTACTGCTAATGAGTATCAGACAAGAACCTGAGGGAATATTTTGAAATAAGATTAGCCGTTCAGATATCTTTTTCTTTTACTCTTATGCAAATTAAGTTATTGTATGAGCATTATCTTATGTTGATTTCAACACCATTTGACCGAGATTTGTTCTCCAGTTAAATAAGGAGATGCTGGATTTGTCTTCATTTCGAACATTTTTATTTAGTAGGACGACTTTAATTGTTCTTAACCAGGAAATTTATGTACGAGGTCTTTACTTGTCTCATGACCTGAATTCTTTTTCTAAAGCTGTTCTTACTGGTGTTTCTATAGACCTTCTCATTACATGTCTTAAGAAGGTTCGCTTTTCTACTTTTGCTCAAGGCTTGCATTTAGATTTATAGTGAATGATTCATTTTCTACGGCTTATCAACCTTTAAAACCAGAAAATTATTTTAGAGATAATAATATTTTGTGCTGTTTTTGTTTTTTTTTGTTTTTGTTTTTTTCTTAGATAATAATTTAGTGATACAAGTCTTATTAATGAAACCATTGCTGGGATGGGAAGAAAAGATGGATTCATACATTTCCCAAGGGTATTTGCGCCTAAATAGATATAACGAACCCGACAGGAAATTGAACCTGGCTCTCCAGTTAAAAATTCACAGTCATTATTCATTACACCAGCCGCTCATCCAAAATAAAAGCATGTGTATTCTCAAGCGATCGTGATCCCTCTTCTAGTTATTGACAATGATTAACGTTGCTTAACTTCGGTGATCGTACTGGAACTTGTGTTTCAACGTGATATAGATGTATAACAGTAAATCTCATAGTATATGACTTAGTTGGAAATCTTATAAGTCCAGTGGATACTGAAGGCAATTCGAAGTAATTTTCTTATGGGGGCATAAATACTTTTCTCATCAGTACTCGTAAACTCACAAAAGTTCTGAAGTGTACCGAAATTCCCTTGGTATCTTTAAGGAGCTTCTGAGTTGTAGTTGATAGCAGATAATGCTTGATTTGAAAACGTCTTTGTGTTTCGAAATAGTTAAAACTTCGAATCTTTTTTTTGCTTTCAATGTCTTTCTCCGTGTTCTGGCAACTGCCTTTAGGAGTATTATCCTAGTTTTTTCTTACTTAAAGCATGGTCGCCATCAAGGAGACGAACCCGAAATACGATTTACAGGCCGGGGGCACTAAAATCAAGCAAAACATTTAAATATCTGGGAAGTGTTTTAACAGCGGACAAGAAGTGCGACGCTGAGATCCAAAGATGTATTGCGATGGCCAAAGACGCATTCCAAAAGCTAGACAGTGTATTACAAGACAGGAGGATTTCGTTGGCAACAAAGAAAAGAGTGCTGAACTGCTACCTGATATCTGTCTTTCTTTACGGCAACGAATGTTGAACAGTCTCCTCAAAGTTGAAGAAAAGACT